CGGGGGGGGGGGGGGTCCATTGTTGACTGTGCTTAGGGTATCAGTCGCCATTTTTTCATCCCAGGAATTCCAAATGACTGCATCTTGGCATTCACAAGACTCTGTACAAGACTCTGTACGATGACTACCTCACACAATTTAGGGTACCAGGTCACTCTGTTGGGAGGAAAGCATCCTGGAAAGGAGATCTGTGTGGAGAGCTGTTCTTACAAACCTTGGAAAGAAGTGTTGGAGTGTCTGCAAGTAAAAAAAGGAGGGCGAACCTAAGAGTAAACTGTATGTAGCCAGTTAGACCAAAAAAGGTATGTGCGGTTCAGCTTGAGGACTTGATTCTTGAGAGCTTGCCAATCCTTGCCCACAGGTAGCCGTTGTAGGGTGCTACTGAATGGGATTGACTTGGTGACCATTGTCTCACTTCACATGGGTCATATAGAGAGGAATAGCAATAATCATTCATGTTAATAGGATTCTTCTTTATTAACTTACTGACCTGGTTCAGAATGTGGCACCATTACTTTTTTTCAAGTGACTGACAACATATACCTCAGTCATTATCTTGATAAAGAAATGGTTGCATGATGTGCGACACATACAGGACAAATTTAAATGGAAAGTTATTAACCATGTTGGTGTATTCGTGGAGCATAAAGTGTTACGATATAGAGCAATCTCCCTGCCAAGCTACAGTCAAAGTCTTACCTTGTAATCAGCACACTGGAAGTATGAAGGCAAGGAGACATCTTCTCCAATAATGGTTGTGTTCTTTCCTTCATGCTGCAATATCAGACTTACATCCAACTTTTCTGTGTTGCCCACAATGTTCACGCAGGCCTTTCCCGTCTCACCACTAAGCAAAGAGGCAGGTGAGCTCAGGACATATTGGCTATAAACAGAAGGGGAAAGAAATATTGTAGTAAGAACGAGGGTGGAAGTATACAAAAGTTGACACGTATTACTTACAAATTCCAGCCAAAATGTAGCAGTTGTAACAGATAATGATGTTCTTTATTTTATTTTATGAAAACAAGTCTCTGCTTTTGCCCAAGTTGCAGTTTAAGGTTCTCTGACCCTCCTCTAAAATGTTCCTTCTCACCCTGTTGTATTCTTTATGTGTTGCAGGTTTTTTTTTGTTTTTTTCTTTCCCTCTCGTAACAAGCAGCTCAACCATGCAAAGGATCATGGCTATACCTTCACTGCTGTTTACAGTCCAGCAGTCTAGGGCTCCTTCTGTATACCCAAACTTGAGCATCGCTGCATTCTACCGAGCCCAGCATTGCACTACCTGTGTGCACTTTAGCCTTACCACCATCCAAGGGGCCAGTCCACTATTGCCTTTGCACCCATCCAATCAATACAGATCCTCTCCACTGGAGAAAACCTTATGTCAACTTAATACATGGAGAAACCTAGCAGCATGAAGGTGCCCGCCAAGCATTAAAGTGTGCCCATTCCAATACAGACAAGGTTGAGGATATTATAAAACGCTGATAGGAGTGTATTGTGTGCAGAGGATATGACAATAATCAGTATGTGTAGAAAATGAGTTCAGAGGGTATGACAGTGAGCAGTATGTTCAGGAGAGAAGTGCAGAGATGTGATGTGGGACACTATGTGCAGGAGAGGAATAGTGCGGAGGATATAACATGGCGAGGAGAGGGAGTGACATGGGGCAGTATGTGCAGAGGGTAGGACAGCAGGAATTATGTTAATAAAAAAGGTGTGCAAAGGGTATGACAGTGGTCAGCATGTGCAGGAGATGTGCAGGGGGCAGCATGTACAGAAGCATGGCGAGGAGGGTATGACTGAGTCCAATATTTTCAGAACAAATACACAGGGTAGTATGTGCAGGAGAGGAATTGACATGGGGCAGAATGTGCAGGAGAGAAGTGCGGCGTATATGACATGGGGCACTATAGGCAGGACAGGGAGGAGTACAGAGGAAGACATACGGCAGTATGTGCAGGATAGGAGTGCATAGGATACAACATGGGGCATTATGTGCAGGGGAGGAGTGTGGGGAATGCGCCATAGGGCAATATGTGCATAGGGTAGGACGGCAGGCATTATGTTAAGAAAAGGTGTGCAGAGGGTATAACAGTGACTGTAGGGGGTATGAAGTCAGCTAGAACATGCAGGAGAGGAGTGCGGAGGTTATGGCAGGGGGCAGTATGTACGGCAAGACTGAGGGCAGTAATTTCAGGAGAGAAGTGCAGAGGTGCGCAGGAGTGTATGATGCAAAGTCAGCAAAGATCTGAATTTCTCTCAAACTGCAACACATCATATTCAATACAATAAAAAAAAAAAACACCAAAACAGGACGCAGGTTCCAAGCTGTTTCCCTAAAGTAGACAGACAGGAAAAAAAGTGCAGAGATAATGTTGAACACTTTCAGTAAATCAATCACAAGGAGTTAGACCTGCAAAACAGGAAGCCTGGGTGGGGAGGATTTGGGAGGAAAACTGCCAACAGCCTGGGCCGGGATTGATTGATAACCGGAATAAAATTAGCAAGATCCTCAGGATTAGTGACAACTAAGTGCAGACATCACTCAATGGCACAGCCTACATGCCAAGTATTTTTTTGCAGACACTGCCAATATTTGCTGATTTGACCCCGACATTACCCAGCTTGGATTGTAAAGCATATACTATGCACACACAGTTGCAGAGAAATTCCAGGATCAATATTCCTACAATGACAGATTTACTGAAAGCAGAACTGGAACTGCTCAACCCGAAAAAACGTGGCACAAATGATATCCTTCCAGCACACGAGTTTGGCTACTGTGGGTACTGCACTTAAGTCCATATACTGCTTTATAAATGGTATTCAACTGTAAGAGGGTCCCATGTGTAGCCTTCATTTATAAAAATTAAGGATGAGCAGGAAAAAGCTATCAAACCGATAGCTCAGTCCTGAAGATTGGAATTTCTCAACCTTTTTCGAGCCTTGGCACCCTTTAAAGTATGCAAAATCCCAAAGCAGCCCATTATACAAAAGTAAAAAGGCATGAATGTATGGTGCCCCCAAAAAGTCATTGCAGACTCTTATCCTAGATTGGGGTCATTTATGGATTTTAGGAGGGGCCCCACACCACAAAAGACACATAGGATTCCCACATCAGAGTCCCAACTTCCAGTGTCCACCACCGCACTGCTGCAGCAGCATGGCAGGAGGTAGAGCAGGTCTGGATGGAGGTGGGCTTCCTTCCTCTTCCAAAAGTTTGGAGTGGTCCTGGATGCATACGCTTCCACAGGGCTGGTGGCTGGCCCAATTGCGCCATAGAAACATGACGCTGTGCAAAAATGTCACAGTATTCCTGAGAAGGCAAGATGATATCACAGGATGCCACAACACGCAACACCCTTGTTGTGAAGGGCTGCTGCAGATTAAACAGGGATAGCAGCTCATGGTGACAATCTCTCCGCTTTGTTAATCAGGAGCAAACAGAAGGTAGAGTTCTTCTGATTACACAGGGAGGACTGTGCTCTTCCTGTGTAATCTGCAGGACTGAACTGTCAGTCCGACAACTCAGTCCTGTACAGTGCAAGGACACAGCTGTCCGTGCTTGCCTTCCAAAAACACAGCCCATTGCAACAGTATATTAATATGTAATATAATGCAGCACTGCATGCGATTTAACTTTTTATGTGCCGTACAGTTTATATTTTAGGGCAAGCTTTTGGGAGATCCACACCCTCCTTTCATTAGCATGTTGATTGGGGGAGGGTATGGGGGGATGACCATGAAAAGTATCATATAAAGCAGATAAACCATCTACAAAGATAAATGGTTAGTGAAGGTTTGGGGAAAAAGGGGGGGGTATACAGTGAGCCACATAAGGAGTAGAGAAAAAGTCAAACGAGGGGAGAATGGTCATAGAAGCATCAGATTTATAAAGCCAAGCTCAGTATTCTTGGTTCAGATGTTTTCCTTTCCGAAGGCAAGGCTCACATATCAGCGATCCCGGCCCGCGCACAGCGATTGTCCCATTGATTTCAATAAAGTTATATCTGTGTGGCAATCACGGAGGAAAAAAAAAGGTATGTAGCGCTCACCCCCGAAGGAGCCGCTGGATGATCGGGTCTTCTGTTTCACCTCTGTGACACACCACAAGCAATGAACCCACAGCACACCTTGTGAAGTTTTATAACAGATTTAATGACTATGGAATAGAACAAACACTTAACGGCTCCCCAATCACATGCAATACAACCAGGATAACAGGATAAGGCAATCTGACACGCAGCAGCAATCTATTGCATGCAGGAAAGCCTGCAATGTCAGAATGTCTCAGATAATATACTTAGATTGAATGCAATCAACATTAATATCTTTACTTAAAAGTATATATCCCCCGCTAAACTACTGGCCAGTAGTATTGTCCTAGGCTAGCCAACGTTGGGGCCCTTGCTGTATAGCAGATGTGAACAATAAACAGGTTGTCACTGCGGCCAAAGGCCTCTCACCACTCCTCAGATCAAATGGGAAGAGATGAAGTCTGCTGGTGGAAGCTGGGTGTCCTCTCTCTCTCTAGTCGACTCTGGGAGGAAGGTGAAGTCATCTGGGTCCCTTGTAAGAGGTTTTCACTCACTCAGGATACTGGCAGTCGTCTCCCTCTGGATGGCTGGATCACCCCAGTGGCTGGTTCGGCAGTGCGACTAGGCCTCGATGTCCTTTGCGTTAACCAAGTCACCGGACCTCACTTCAGGCACTCGATCGGGTCCTCTCCGATTCAGCAACTCAGATCAGTCTCTCTATAGACGGCTGCACAGAGCCTGTGTGTCCCTATATGTCAGCGGTGACCACACAGCTTTGTTTCACACAGTCTTAACCCACACAGGGTTACACAGGTCTGTCCTCTTCAGATGGCTGTCCCAGACTGAGGCTGCTCTGCAGTTGCAACCCATAAGCCTCCTGTTTCCTTCCCCACAGCCTCCTGGGTAATGCAGTTCTCAAAAATCCTTTCAGCAAACGTATCCAAATCAGCTCTGTATACCGTCTCCCCAACCTGTGCTCTCTGGCTCCACCTGCAATATCTTTTCTCTTAAAGGAGCTGCAATCACAACAGGGCTACAGGTACATTTACACGCCCATGCAGTTTTTTCAACCACAATTGTGCATGATTGCACGGGAGGTATCCCGCTGGATCCACCTAGCACGACTGAGGTGCCATTAGAAAATAATGGCAGCGCCACAGCGATTTGACGGTGGTATGTGATTTTGTGACCGTGCGGCCATCTGTGCGATTTTGTGCACGTTGGCCGCGTGGTCACGGATTGCCCTAGTATGAACCTGGCCTCAATGGTTTCGGAATGCGGAGAGAGAAACATGAAAACATTCCTAACTTCTGCATGATCATGCATAAAAATCATAATTAAACAGGATGGCACCTTAAAGTGACATTAAACCCTCAGATTTTTTAACATAAACCAATACTGTAATGTGTGCCTTACTGCAATCCATGGTAGTTTCCCTTCTCTTTGCTGCTCTTCCTTTTAAATCCTCATGTCTTCTCATGCTGGGGAAGAACTTCCCTTTGCAGCCGACTGCCTCTTCCTGTAGTGCTGGCTCAGGTTGCAAACCTGCACACAGACACCATGTATCCATTTCAGAGACAAGGCAGTCTGCTGCAAAACAGAAGTTCTGCCCAGCATGAGAACAGATACAGATTTAAAAAGAGCAGCAAAGAGAAGGGAAACTACCATGGTTTACAGTAAGGCGCACATTACAGTGTTGGTTTATGTTAAAAAGTCTGAGTGTTTAATGTCACCTTAAGTCCCAGTTTAAATCCTCCTGTACATGGAAACCACCTGTTCAGTGAAATGCTTACATCCCAACTCTCACGTATCAAGTAAAAGGCATAGCAGCAGCCTTGGTTTA